GTTGAGCCCTCGTGTGCCGTCACCGCCCCGCTGAAGCCAGTTTGTTGCAAGGTGCAATTTCCTCCTTGCCGTTTATTCATTCCCGCTTTGTCACTCGTTTTTATTTCACTCCTCCTCCTCTCCCCTCAGCGGCAAGCGTTGCGAACCAAAATAAGGCAAAAGACAAAATAAAATAAAAAAAGAAAAAAAGAGAGAGAAGGGCATCATCATTACCAAAGCAATTCGTGCGGAGGCACGAAGCAGAAAGCAAAAAAAAAAACGAAAAAAAAACAAGTCAATCAACAGGGCAAACAGCCATATCAAGACGCAGAGATACGTATATAAATATACATACGGAAAACAAAAAACAAACAGGAAAAACGAGAGAAGAGAGCACGTGGTGGAGTACACATTCGACGCGCGTGCAATGGAGACCATGGCACATGGCGGCCACCATCTCGTATACAGACATATATAATATATATAATATGTCTGTGTGTGCTGGCAAGAAGGAAAAACAAAAAAAAATACCAACAACGACATCGCAGGTGGTGAGCACCAACAATAAAAAAGGAGCAACGGATGTATAGCGAAGCAAGACAGCAGACAATAAAAAAAAAAGAGAGAGAAATAAAGACACACACACACAAACAACAAAAAAAAAGAGGATACACCGCAGCACGACACTAACAAGTAAAAATGAAGGAAAAGAATCAAAAAAGAATAAGAAAAGGCTCGTCAAAAATGAATAAGCCCATCGCACGACAGCTGCATCTAATAAAAGAGTGTTTCTTCCGCATATGTTTTACGCGTCAATCGCTCAGTTTCTGATTGTTTTTGCTTCACGTCAAATTCGAAGAAACTCGTGGGAGTGTCTTGGTTTTCGTGCTTTCCATTGCTCGTATATTTCTTGGCGCTACTGACTTTCCGCGCCGTCCACCCCTTCTTTTCCCCATCTCTAATCCCCGCCTTTTGTTTTTGTTTGTTTTGTGTTACCTTAATTTCTTCTTCTTTTCATTTTACGTAACATTTATTATTATTTTGGTGGGGAGGGGGGTTCTGTTGTTTTGTGGTGAAGGGAAGTGGTGGGTCCTTTAAAACACCGCATCCTCTTCATGCATGCGCGTGTGTACATATGCGGCCCTCCTCCCCATCCTGTTGATGTTGTTGTTGTTGTTGTTTTTCGTTGCCTTCTTTCTTCCTTTTTCCACATGCATTTTATTTTCTTCGTTCTGCCGCTGCATCCCCCCAGCCACCAGGGACTGCTCAACCAATTACCTCAGTTAACTCTCCGCACAAAAATTTCGCACCCCCCCCCCGCTTCGCCATCTGGCCACATCTCGCGGTACGGAGGATTCCACCTCAATGAGAGACTACGGGGACCTCAGCATGAAGCCATTTATTGCTTCTGACGGCTTGCTGCTTGCAGTGACGCTGGCCACATCAAGCGATCCTAGCGACGAGTAGCAAGTTGGGCTGCCGCCAGCCATTGCTGGATCTAGCTGTGGGAGCAGCGAAACTGAAGGTGGGAAAAAGAGTGGCTGCAGCAAAGCCGGGCAGGCAGATTCCTTTGGGACCCGAATCGTTGGCGCAGCCTGTGGCGGCACCTGTCTAATGTCACTGTCGCCATTGTGTACAAGGCCTGCACTACTTTTGCTAGCGATGGTCGTGCCGTTCAGACTTGCGTGGATTACGTTATTGTTCACACCGGTGTTGGGAACGACAATCACCGACGGCGGAGGTGGGGGCGGAGGGGTGTAGGCCGGCGAGTTTAACCCCTGCGGGTGTACGGGCGTTGCCAGTAATTGTGTTCCATCCTCTGCCGGAGCAAGAATAAAATGTGGTGCTGCGTAAAACTCCACAGGAACAGCATTCATGATGGTTAGTTTTTGTGGCGCCATAGCCAGAGGAGATGCGCAGAAGGTCTGAGGAAAGGAAAATGTCGGCATCCCTTGAAACGCCATGGCGTTGGGATCCCTTCTGGGGTCCAAGCCCGCAGAACACGCAGGATACGGGCGTGGGGCACATGGGCCGGCTGAGGGCAACGACGCCACATGACTGCTCGCCTTCCTGTCCTGCACTGTGGCCCTGGGACTCGGCTTACGTTTGGGCTGCGCGTTCCCCGGCCCAAACGCAAGAGACACGCGCAAGCGTTTGTTGTGAATTTCAAACCCATTCATTGCCTCCATAGCTGCAAGCCCTGACTCCTTGTCGGCGTACACCACAAACCCGTACCCCTTTGGATGCTCGCCCTTCTTCCGGTCGCGAATGACGCGGGCAGAGAGAAGCGGGCCAAACCTTTCAAACAGGTGGCGCAGCACGTCATCCGAAACAGGGGTCGGGATGTAGTTGACGATGAGGTTCCGCGGGTCCGCCCCTGACGCCGCCATTTGTTCACCAAGCACCAGCAGCGAGCATGTAACAAACACACACACAGAAAAAAAAAAGTGGGCCCTACCGTCGAGAACAAACAAAGCAAAAAAAAAGCCAATGTGAGAAAAATAACTGACCTCCTTCTTTCGCACCTTACTAGTTCACTCGCTGTTGGACCCTCTCGTCTCAGCGGTATTTATGCAAAAAAATGTACACGGAAAAACAAATTGTAAGACTCTTATTTGGACCTGTTTTTCCTGTTTTGCCCGCCACGCTCACACTTCTTTTTATTCTTCCTTCTTATGGAGTATTGCTGTAAACGAGAACCGCCTTGTTTTCCCTCCTTTGTTTGCGTTCTCCTCTCTGTCCTCCCTTTCTTGGTGTGTGAGTGGCAACTGCGCCGTGACTCTCCGCTGCGTGCCACGTGTGCGTGTGTCTCAGAAACTGTCCAACAGGCGACTGCGCACGCGTGTCCGTTCAGAACCGCACTGATGGGTGCAAACAAAAACCAAAAAAAAAGCAAGAAAAAAAGAGAGAACCGTAGAGAAGAGTATTTCTTTCTTGTTGAGTGCGTGCGCGTGTGTGCCCGTCGTCGCAGGCGCAGAGGAGATGCGGCACCAAGAGCAGGGAGCAAAAGGCCCGGAGAGGAGAAGGAGGTAGAGCGGTAAGGAAGAAAACTGACGGGGAGGCGAAGCGCAAAAGAAAAGAAAGAAAAAACGACATGAAACCGGGGGGAAGGGAGGAGGGGAAGGGAGGGA